CAGCAGTTAGTTTTAGAGAAAAATTTATGAAGAAACTCCCCGATTTAAAACTACCTTCATACGTTAAACCCGAAAACATGTATGAATTAGCTTTTAACTCACACCCACCAAGATTCCGTTGACTACCAACGACTGATTTCGGCATGACTTTTAGCCCTCCATTTCCCAATTGGTTCGTCTGTGGGGACTTCGTGAAAATCCTTCGACGAGACTCTCAAAAACTGGCAAATGGATGGTTCCGACTAAGCGCACTCTAGACAGTTTCAAAAGACATCTTCATATTGGATAGAGGATGTTCAAGTACTCTCTCCCATATATGAAGGTGTGGAATAAGATGGATTTTCAATTTAATTCATTTTTCTTCTAACAACTTCTTGACATCTTTTTTACTTGTGGCATTTGTTTTAACATGTTCTTGTTTTAGCCATCGAAAGAAAACAACTAGGAAAAGGCCCAACAAAGAAAACTGCTAGTTCAACCAAAAACGAAGATCAAGAAGAAGAAAACACCAAACCAGCAACAAATGTACACTTTTTGTTTTCCTTATTTCACTTAATATATTATCTTAATATGTTAATGTTTTTGTTATTTTCAGGCAAATAAAAACCTCCTCCGACTCCAAAGGAAAGAAAGGCTAAAGAACCTCAGGTCCAAGTAGTCGAATTAGATAATGATGACCTTTCACTAGACACTTTTAAAGTTGTTAAGAAAAAGAAGAAAATGAAGGTTTCCAATGCCACTTCCCAAACAAAAACCAATATCATTAAACTCAAACTAAAGAAACTCATCACTCCAAAAGTGACTTAGGTTATTTTACCTCAAATTGCTCGGAACCATTTTCCTCTTCTTTTATTTTCGACTCATCATGATTCAACTTCTTTTGTAGTATGGCGCAGATGGTGTCAAACAATCAAGCATCAAACGCGCTATCCCTAGGAGCACCAACACTCATTTGCACCAACCAACATCCATCAAGGATTAGACCAAAGGATCCATAGGTGAAGCAAATAAACCCACTGAAGAACAACGGGAAATCTCGCCTACAAAAGGACACCACCCAATACTTTCAGACCATTGATTATGATCATGAGGAGGAAGACAGAGAACAACACGCCATGGAAGTCAAAGAAACAATAGAAATACAAGACACATAAAGGATCATGCAAGACCAAGTATATGATTCCTCACCAAAAATCTCCAACCAAGGAAAATACCAAAACGAAGAAGAATATCAAGATGAAGATCAATCTCTGTTCAATTATACAAACAACCCTCCGGATGAAGAAGAAGAAGAAGAATAAGAAGAATATGATGATGATGCAGGACCAAAAGAAATAACCAAGACTAACCAGGCCTCTGAGACTGTCAAGGAATTTAAAGCTCCTTTGACCCAAATAAACACTGCTCTCTCCCAGGAAGAACTAGACAATTTGAAGAAAAACAAACTAGCAGAATACCTGAAGGCAATTCTAAGCGCAAGGGGCAGTTCGATTGATAAATGCTCTAACTCTTCGAGTGTCTCTGGTGGTCAGTCTGCAAATGCACCTATTGACGAAATTCTCAAGGAAGTTAAGGAGAAACCTTTTAATTTTGATATGCTTAAAGTCTTAGAAGATAATTTTTCAGCCTTCGTTAGAATCAAAGACCTTTTGAAGCAAGTCTACATTTTTACTACCCCTGCAAAAATTGCAGACGTAATCATGGAACTTGGGCTGCTTATCGACCACGTCACTATGAACCTCAACCGTCGAAGAGACATTTCAAACAAAATTTAAAATAAAATGAACACTCAAACAGCTGAATGGAACACTGCTACTGAATCCACCAACAAGGTCAAAAAATTAGAGAAAGGCTTCGAAAAAATCAAGCAGAACTCGAGACTTGCACTAGCAACATTGCTGCTTAGGAGAAACAAATCAAAGAGTTGCAAGCCAAGATTTAAAAGGCAAAAGAGCACCAAGAAGAAATTCAGAAGTCGTCCATCAAGAGCTCGACAATGAAAGTCAAGTATGAGTACATCATGTCGAACAGGCTCGGGCTTTGGGAGCAGAAATGACACCTTCAACTCTAACAAGTCTGTCATTGATTGGCGCCTGCTACTTTCGAAGTCAAAATGTGAACGCATGAAAGCCGCTCTTCCTTTCTAGGTATTTTATTTTCTAACATTAATGTTGTAATTGTTTGAATTTTATTTCAACTCTTATTTTGTAATGTGATAACTTAGCCATTTTGGTATTTAAATTTAATTATCATTTTAGCTTTAATTTTTACATATGAATTATTTCATTAGTATCTTGACTTCCTGAAGTGCATGCCTATATCTTTTCAAATATTTCCCATTTACTTTCAAGAGCCTTTGATCCTCAGATAATTCTTCGATCTCATATGCACTATTAGAAAACACTTGAACAATTTGGAATGCACCTTCTCATTTTGGGGACCATTTACCAAATGTTATATCCTTTTTATCCATGGGTAGAATAAATTTCCATACTAAGTCTCCATTCGAAAATGACTTGACTTTAACCTTTTGATTGTATGCTTTTTCTACCCTCTTTTCCGCCTCTTTAATAATTCTAAGGCATTCACCCTTTCTTCATTCAAACCGACTAGCTCGTATAACATCATGTTCTAATAAACTTCAGATGGAATTTCATTATCTCTTTGAATCCTAGTTGATTGGAGATATATTTCAACTGGTAACACTGCATCATATCCATAAGTTAATCGAAAAGGCGTAGAATTTGTATCCTTTTTAGAGGTTGTTCGACAAGCCCACAAAATTTGGTCCAATGTCTTAGAAAAATTTCTTTGCTTTTTCCCCACATGCTTCATTATTAAACCAATTACAACTTTATTTGCTGCTTCAATTTGACCATTCTCTTGAGCATAATAAGGCGTAGATGTCAACAACTTGATACCCACTTCTTTAGCAAAATCCTTGACCTTTCGACCAGTATATATTGATCATTGATCAGTTGTAATCATTTATGGGATCCCAAACCTTAGATTATGTGTCATTGAATGAACTCGATCACTGCCTCCTGATCAACATTCGCTAAAGGAACGGATTTGATCCACTCATAAAGTAATAAATGCCCACTAGGATATACTTGTGACTTTTAGAAGACGCTGGTCGAATTTCACCAACCAAATCCAACGCCCAACCCCTAAAAGGCCAAGGATTCACAATGGAATGCAGTTCACTTGTAAGAACGTGTTGTATACATGTGTGTATCTGGTACTCTTGGCACCCTTTGGATAACTCAATACAATCTTTCACATAGGTATACATATTAGTATTAATACTAATATTGGAATGAACCACCATGAAAATAATACATAGAATGTTATGAAAGTGTCATAATTTATTATTAAGGTGATAATAGTGTATATCAATGTTCAACCTGAAACTATAATGGACCTTAGATGGGAAGTCACATACTTTATTGTAGTTCAAACATTATCTATAACAAGATGATTAGGAACTTGCCTATCATGCGTAACAAGATAAATGTCTAAGGGCCTAATACTGAGTTGGACAAGGGTGACATGATCTATGCCTTTTGTTCAATATAGACATGAGGACAAAAGATTAAATATACATATAAGCATTATATCGAAAAGGTTTCAGAGGCGGGGTTGCTTACTCAGTAGCTTTAGAGATATCCACCACAACAATGTGTTTGCTATCTTGAAATAATGTATATTTAGCTTTTGAAGGGAGAGTGATATTGTTCAATTTAGTTCTCGAATGAATTCCTACTTTATTTATGTCATTTATGAAAAATGAAACTAAGATATAGAAGAGAATAATCAAGATTCAAAGAGGATTCTTTCGGTGGAGTGAAAGGTGGAACAATAATACTTTGGGTTAAATAGTCTAATGTATTTAAACCTAAGCAGGTATGGAATATTGGTGTTTGTGATCTCTGCACACTTAATTTAGCTCTATTACTTAATTAACAACATCAGAAGTCTATCTTTGATGATTCATGGCTGCTGAGGGATATTTTATTTGTTAGATATGAGGTTCAAGTTATTCCTCGTTCATAGGGGGGGGATACTTTTAATCCTCCTACTTTTCCTAACTGGTGGAAAATTGTCTCTCTTTTAGGTTTTAAAATTGATGCTTGCTCTGACTAGTTTGTGGATAGTGTGTAGAGGAATGATGTGACTTACATTCTCTTCTATTTTTGGGTTGATGTGTGGAAGGGTCAAATTTCTTTTAGAGTAAGATTCAATAAACTTTATCTTATCTCGAATAAATAGAGGGTGAGATTGGTCTTTTGAAGGAGACTTTTAATGTAAGATGTCCCTCTTTATTTAGGGACAAGAGTAAGTTAGAAACTTTTTTTTTTTACAAATTATGAAAATATTCTATCTCTAGAAAGAGATTGTTGGTCATGTTGGCATGGGAAAAATCGTGTTTTCTATATTTCTTTGGCATAAAATGCCAAAATTGAGGTGAATCTAGGTTTTGATTCATCCATTAGTTCAAATCAAATTCAACCCTTAATCTAACCTAGTTGATCCTTCTTTTAAAAGGTGATTTTTTTTAAAAACTCCTTTGAAATAAAATACTATAAGAAATAACCATTTTAATCATTGTCTCTTTATTGACTGTAATTGTAAAAATTATAAATATTTAAGTCTAACATGTATATTTTAAATTTTTACAAAGCATTTTAAATCTTATAGTAACAAAATTCAAATTAAATTTCGTATTATTTTTTAAACATACATTAAAATAAAAGTGACTTTTGCAAAACTACAAGCACCTTGCTAGTTATATAAAATTTTGGCTTATCTCATTTGACAAACATGTCCCAATTTACCGCTCAATAGTTCTTGATGACCCATTTTTCTCTCTATGAGCCAAGTTGTTACTACACAATATATTATGTAATAATGCTCTTTTTGTGCTTCTTAAATCTTACAAGTTGCATGATCTATAAATAGTTGTTAACTGCATTTACATTCAACACAGAAGATCAAAGATGAAGATAAAGTGTTTTATTTTTGCTTTCTTTCTTTGTGCACTAATTTTCATCACTGTTGTGGCAATTGAACCATCCAAAGATGATGAGAAACAAAGTACATGAATATTATTTGTTTGCACAACTTTGTTTTGTTTTTATTATATTTTAATAATCATGTTTATTTTATTTGCAGCTGGTGTATTTGAAAATTCCAAAATAAAACTTGGGGTAAATACAGATAGACGCTTAAGAGAAGGTGGACATGGTGGAAAGCGACGAAAAAGACATCATAATGCTGATTTACAATTTTGGATAAATGGAGGTGGTTGGGGAGGTTCGTTAAATATTGGAGGAGTTCAAGATGGAGCTGAAAACATTGGGCTTGGAGGACAAGAAGAGAGAAGAAATGAAGTAAGTTCCATAGGAGAAGAAAACAAGGATTTGGAGGAGAAGAAGAAGCTTCCATATAAAAACTAAATGCATGAATGAGTGTATTGCATTTCATGAATAGTGTATAATAAAAGCATGCACTATATCTTACTCCATGCTTAGATTTTAATAGGATCAACATTATATATGCAATTTATTAGAGTTTAGGTTAATATAACTCTATAAAACCGATTAGTAAGGTGAGGAGTATCATTTTATATAAACTATTTTAATGTTTTATCTCTAATTAATGTGGAATTTTAGAATCTTCCTAACACACCTCCTTACGTTCAACATTCTTTTTTAGCTCGATACATGAATTTTAAATGGTGGATTGCCTAAGGTACGATCGATAAACTCTGATACCATATTAGAGTTTGTCTAATACAACTCTACAAAATCGGTTAGTAAGATGAAAGATGACACTCTATATAAATTATTTCAATACTCTATCTCCAACTAATGTTAGACTTTAAGATCTTTCTAACACAACTCAACATTATATAACTTATTATAAAATTTTAATATGTAATCGCAATTTCTTTTTAGAAAATAAATAAATATTGGAGAAAATATATAATAGATATTATAATTCAATGTAAAGCAAATCAAGATCTAAAATAAATTTCCGTCCCTAATTTGCATGTTTTTGGTATTTAAATACTCTGAAAAAATGCTACAATATAGCCAAAATTACATGGAGAACTATCATTGCTAAACAAACATATGTGAAGATTTCATATGTAAGAGCTTTTCGAAACCTTTTTTATACAAATATAAGAAACGTTCAATACACTCAAATCATACTCTAAAGAGAATAATTTAATTTAATCTATCAATCGTTCAGTATAATATTGTTATTGCTTGGTTCATAATTGGATTCAAATTTTGGAGAGCTAAAAGTTACTAAAACATATTGTTCAAATTAAATTTACAAAAACATATCATCACTTTAGAAAATCCATTTTTAACATTGTTAAATTTAATAGAAGAAACAGTAAATTTCTCCTCAAGAATGCAGAATATGTTCAAAAACCTCAAAAACATTAAGATGTCTAAAGACATATAAATGTGAAAAGATTTTCATAGAATTAAATACATTATTTTTTATTTATTTTTAATAATGTGAGAATGAATTTTGTAATGTTATATTTACAAATAAATTTGTTTAGGGCGATAGTTTGGGACGGCCTAAGGAAAAGGCGACGACACAAGATCGTTCGAAGGGAGGTATTATCTCGCCCTTGAGTTTCTATTGCTCATAGAAAGAAAAATGTGGGATAAGACGTGTCTTGGGCAAAGAGAAAGTCAGAGTTGTTACTGACTCGCGTTTCGTTTATGAATAGGGATTCAACTGTCGACTATTTGACTAGATGGACGGTGGCCCTTTTCGAAAAACCATAGGTCCTCGTGGCCTCTATAAATACACTATCCCTAAAGGGGATAAAGGAGGACCTCAAGTCATACTCATTTACTACTACTCATAGAGCAATCCGATCCTAGTAGCGCTAACACCGTCGATCTAACCGCCCGCCTGCAACCTAGTGGCGCTGACCACTAACAGGGCCTCTCAGCTCACAAGAGTTGGTCCCTTAAAAAACCTCAAAACCACTATACAATGCTACTCAACGGCTTAAGCTAGCCCTCACACCCAAATGTTAATATGCCTACTAGGACCTCTGAGTCTCCCTACCCTTATAGGGGGAACACAACCACATGTACTATTTGGATAATACAGCGACGCACACCATGGGATCCAGTAAAACTAAATTGGGTCACACCTCTTTCTAATAACCATCATTTTCCATGTCGTACCCTTAACTCCTACACCTAACCATTATCAGACACGTTGAACAAAAGAGCTCTATCCCCCATTCCTAAGGGTACTACCGGTACATGTGATGCTAATTTTATGGCAGAGATGCTAACCACCATGGACGAATTAGGACGCCATAATCAGACGTTAAGAGGTGACATATAAAACATCAGACAATGCCAACAGGAGGTCAATCCCCAAAAGAGGTGGAACTACGGGATCCCTAGCCACTCTCGAACGAAGTATAGGGGGCCCCTGTTCTCGAAGGCTTCCACCTCCATCCTTGGCCAAGTTTAATGGATTCAACAATCTTTATGAACACGTCACCTCCATCAAAACACATATGACCATTATAAGAACACCAGACTCCCTAAAATGTAAGTTATTGTCAGACACTCTTAGGGAGGCTGCCTTTATGTTGTATATAAGCCTTCCCTGTGCCTCTATCAACATCTATCAAGAGTTAGTAAGGAAGTTAGTGCACCAGTTTGATGTCATTCGCCACATAAAGATGTCCACTAGCAGCCAGTTTAACATGCGCGAAGGTACGTCAGAATCACTAAGGGACAATCGCCCGCTTCAATGAAGTCATCATCAAGTTCGTCCCTCTGAGTAATGGAATGTTCGTCGGGGTGTTCAAAATCATACTTAAGGAGGGACACTTCAATTTATCCCTCACCCAAATATCGATGCTCATGCTGGCCAAAGTAGTTCCTAGGGCAGAGTGTTACATCAAGGGCGAGGAATACAATTCTGAAAAGATGGATCACAACGCCAAATAGTGTGTCACCTCGCCCATGAAGGATAAGTCAATGTTTAAAAGGTTGGGAAAGATGACGAAGATTCTCACGCCTTTGAATACCCACCGAAAATAGATTTGGCGCGAGGTACTCCATATATATAACATCTTGACACCGCCTGGCCCCATATCAGAGGTAATGAGATATGATCCTGAAAGGTGGTGCAAGTTCCATAGAGTTAAAGGACACTATACTAATTGCTACTACTTGTTAAAGAAGGAAATAAAAAATCTGATATAGGAGGGCTACCTTAAGAAGTGTGTGACATGTGGCTCATCCAACTAGGTGGAATGAAATAACCAGCGTGAGCGAGAAGATGCATGAAGCCTGGGGTCAAACAAATCTAAAGAAGCATCCCATGGTGAAGAGAGAAAGCGGTGCATCATACCCTCAACACCATACATGGAGGATTCATTGGGGGTGGCGAGGCCGCCCATAAAAGATACGTTTGTCAAGTCATGAGTGTAGAAAACCCCCTTGAGATCACTAGTATAAAGGCATCTGAAGCCATTACTGTCTTCTATGAAGAAAATGTGTTTGGTGTCCATCAACACAGCGACAATCCCATGGTCGTCACAGTCAAATGTGAATAATGGTAGATCAAAAGAGTCTTATTCAAACAGGGAAGCTCCGCCAATATATTGTATTAGGAATCCTTTGAAATATTTTTCCTCAACCTCTAAGATCTGAAGCCCTTCAAAGGATCATTGGCTGGATTCTCAGGAGAACAGGTGTAGGTGAAAGGCTACCTAACTCCGAGGATCATGTTCGAAGAGCAAGACCGTGCAAAGGGAATAAAGGTTAAATTTTTAGCCATTGACTCCCCTCTTCATATAATATGGTTATTAGGAAACCAACCTTTAACCGATTGGGAGCTGATTTTTCTAACTTGTATTTATGCATGAAACACCCATTTCCCAACGAGTGAGTGGGAGTGATTTGAAGAGATCAAGAAAATGCCAATAAGTGTTATGTAGAAAGCCTCGTGTTAAAATGGACACACCTTTTATGCGTAAGGGGGAGATGGGCCAACCAAGTGATAATAACGCCCAAAGTAGCTAGCGAGAGCAAGGAAACTTCCTATCCAACCTCGAGGCGCGATGAAGTCTAAAAGCAAAAAGGAAAGCCTACTCCTCTTGAACCGCCTTTTCATTCATTCAGTTTCTGTTATTTATTCATGTAGTTGCTTTATCTTTTTTATTTAAATAGTTAACCTTTCCCATATGCGAGTATTAAAACTATGTTGATTGTAAGGATAAGTTATTAGTTGGGATGAACTTATTTCCCTCTGCACCCCTGGGGCTGAGGGTTTTTAATGAGACATCTCATCCTTATTTATCTATGTTTATTCGTCATGCCATACCAATACAAGAAATCCAGGTCCACATGAGACAAACAATTATATTAGATGGATCCCCCAAGGGTGGATCCTTGTCACCCATTGAGGAAACTATATTCGCTGGATCCCCAAGGGTGGATTCTTGCCACCCATAAAGGAAATTATATTGGTTGGATCCTTATGGGTGGATTCTTGCCACCCATAGAAGCAATTATATTCACGGGATGCCTCAACGGTTTATCCCCTCCTCTCATTGCGGCAATTATATTTACTGGATCCCCCAAAGGTGGATCCTTGTAACCCATAGAGGCAAATCCTTGTAACCCATAGAGGCTATTTACTGGATCCCCCAAAGATAGAGCCTTTCTATTCATAGAGGTAATTATATCCGTTGAATCTCCCAAGGGTGAATCCTTGCCACCCATAGAGGAAATTATATTTGTCGTATCCCATAAGGATGGATCCTTATCGCCCATAACAATAATTATATTTGTTGTATCCCCCAAGTGTGGATCCTTGTCGCCCATAGAGGCGTTTATATTTGTTGGATCCCCAAAAATTGGATCTTTGCCACCCATAGAGGCAAACATATTCGCTAGATCTCACAAGCATGGATCCTTGCCGCGCATAGAGGCAATTATATTTTTTGGAACTCCCAAGGGTGGATCCTTGTCACCCATACAAGAAAATATATTTGATGGATCCCCCAAGGATGAATCCTTGCTTCCTATCGAGTCAATTGTAATTGTTAGACTCCCAAGGGTGGATCCATGTCGCCTATAAAGGAAATTATATTTACTGGATTCCCCAAGGGTGGATCTTTTCCACTTGTAGAGGCAATTATGTTAGCTAGATTCCCCAAGGGAGGATCCTTATCGCCCATAGAGGTGACCGAAACAACTAAACATATTAAGATAAAAGCAAAACAATAAATAGTTAGCAACGAAAGCAATTAAAATAAAGAATATCACAGAGGGATGCCGCTATTAAGAATAATTTAAATAAAAAAACTCGAAGGGCTAAACAAGATTACAACCAAAACAGGAAAGAGGGAAAGAAGTCATTCTCCATCCACGAGTTCCCCACCCATAAC